TTCTGTCTTCCCATTCTGCAGCCCCTCTTCTGCTGGTACCCCATTTTGTGGTTAACTAACCAATCCTGTATTACTGGAACCAACTTAAATATCCAGTCATTAAGTTTTACGAATACAGTGCAATGAATAGTTTTGTTCTATAAATATGCAGTTGCATAATTTAACCTAGAATGTGCAGTGCATATTGCGTAATTGCAAGTATGTCTTTAAGATTAATTTTCAGAAGTGGAATTAATGGATCAAATACTGTGTATGTATTTGTCCTGTTGCCTTGCGTCGGATTGTATTGATGGATAGCAAAATATGAGTGACTGCTTCTCTCTGAATATAAAGTGTGTTATCACATTTCTTTTTGCGCTCATTAAGCAAATTATGGCATCTTGTTTTCCTTTTAATTTGCATTTCTCTCATGATTGTGGTTGTATATCCCTTCATATGATTATGATGCACTTGTATTTACTTTCATTGGACTGTCTTTTTATAGCCTTTGCTAGTTTTTCTAGTGGGGATTTTTTTTAAAGTGCTCTTTATATATTTGAGAAATGAGGCCTTTGTTTTTGGCGGTAGTTCTATGTATTGTATGTCTTTTAACTTTGCTTATGATTTTAAAAATATCAAAGTTTTAAAAATGTAGCCCTGTTCACTCTATTTCTTAGTTCTTTAAAATCTTTCATTATTATGACTTCTAAGTATGTCTGCCCTCCTCCTCCCCCCCTCTTTTTTTTTTGTTTTTATGAGACTGCCTTTGTTTTAACTATGACATTGTCTATCTTCTCCCTTTCTTTTCTAAGGATACTTGTCATTGGATTTGGGACCCACACTAATGGAGGATGATGTCATCTCAAAGTTCTGAACTTAATGACATCTGTAAACATCCTTTTCTTGTTAAGGTCACATTCCTAGGTTTTGGGTGGACGTATGTTTGGGAGGGCCTCCGTTCAACCCACTGCAAGAATTCCATTCGATTGTTTTTCTGATTTTTTTCTTTCCCTTCAGTGGTTGACTTCAAGAATTCTATTCCTAACGTTTGATCTGAATATTTAAAGCTCTTGAAATATATTTTCAGTTCTTCTCAGAAGGAAAATTATTCTGTGCCTTCTGCCATACAGGGTGTGCGTGCTATGAATAGCATTGTGTTCCATTCTGGGGCTTGGAATAGCAAGTGGCTGAGAACGTGTAATACTTAATTTTTATTTTTTTCTACTCCATAAACTTTTGATTTTTTTCAACGTGGCTACATTAAGTCTTATTCCTTTTTTCGTGTTTCAGCATAAATTGTATATTGAACTAACTTGCTACTGTGTTCAATGATAACAATGGGCATCAAAGTCTTCTTGCAGTGTTTAAATTTAAAAGGCATGAGCCCAGAATAGTGCTGCTAAGCATTGTCTAGGTCTGGTGGTGTTCTAATATCGTTAGTATAGAACAGAAATGGGTATACATAAGCTTTATAACTTTGGTCAAGTTTTATACTTTTCATTTAGTTGCCTCCTGGAAAGTTCGAAATTTCAGAGATGTCAGCAAAAATATTGATTAGAATGGGTTTTAGGTTTATAATGATACATGGTATTATGCCTTCACAGTCCCCAGTCTCAAAATTGAGTATAAAAACTGTCTGCAGACTAGATTTATTCACACTGATCCTGTTTTTCTTGCACAAAATCCTTAAACACATCGAGTAATGTATAGACTGAATATATTAACATGAGGTTGTAAACTGTATTTTTAAGGTTACAGTTATAACTTTTTAAGTGTGATGAAATGTCTCCCTTTTTACTCTTCTCAATAAAATCTATCATTTATTGTACTAAAAGCCTTTATGACTGAGCAAATGACAGTCCTTTTGCTGAAGCAATACTGGATTGCAGTGAGTGTAATTCAGCCAGAGCCCTAGCGGTTTTTCATAAGCTACTTCCATATTTGGGTTTCATTCTTCACTCAGACACAAGGTACTGATGTTACCGAGCCTGTTACCTGTTAGACTGTGGAGTTTTTCTTTGTTCCTTTAGCTTTTGGTTTCTTGGTTATACATTCTCAGTCACTGTAAAGTTCATCAGTCTTGCTCATTAAAACATGAATACAGAAAATTAAAAGAGGCCAGAATGGGATCTGGGTGGTCATTCTGGTCTGATTTTTTCTGTCTTAAAGGTAATGAAATTGAAGTCTAACTAGAAACGTGAACAAAATCATTTATTGCTGGTGAGGTCTCCGGCTAAACCCTGGCTCTGGATCTCCACACCGTGGTTAATTGCTCTACTTCTAGTGCCTATTTATAGGGCCTGCTAAGTTGCAAACTGTTGCTATATAAACATTTCCCGAATATAAATAAATAAGCATGCGTCTTTAATCTCAAGGCTTCAAGCATTCCTTTGGTTTTTATTTCTAAGATATAATTCTATGCAAAATTAACACAATTTCAAGCTCTACCTGGTAATGAAGATTCTTATGTTTATCATCAGGAGAAAGAATATTTTAAAAATAAGAGGAGTCTGCTAGGTATTTCAAAAGAAACTACAAGATTACAGAGAATAAGAAAGAAACTAATAGAAGCCTCATCACTGGGGTAGTGATCCATTAGGATGTGTTTCTTCCCAGTCTTTTTTCCTTCTTTTTGATCTCTGCATCGATTCTTTTGTCTTCTTTTTGATCTGTCTCTGCATAGATTCTTTTCACTCAGTGATACCAGTTTTGTTGTTTGCTTCTGAACTGAGGATAAGCATTTTCCTTTTTATCAAGTTTCCTTTGAATTCTTTTTTAATGGATGCATGAAATTTTGTTTGGATGTGCCATCATTTAACTCTTACTCTCACATCACGTTGACATGAGGTGCCTGGGTGGATATCCTTGTCGGTTTTGGTGATGTGTTTAGGAGGGATGTTTTGGATAGCAAGGTGCACCGTCAGGCTGCTTGAGAAAGATTGTTTCAGTGACATTTGTGGCCACGAGCAAGACTGAGTTTGCTTTTGCCCGAGCCAACCACCTCACTTGCAATTTTGATCGGAGAAGATGGTATTTTAATTGTACTGTATTCGACCACCATGTTTTCTTGCTCCCAATGGTTGACACTTTGTCTTTGCTTTAGTAACAGTTTTGAGGAGAGGCAAAATGTTACACAGTAATACACTTGGATTGCAAGAAATATTGAAACCATGGAGGAGGCGGCTGCCTGGGTGGTGCAGTCACTTGAGCGTCCAACTCTTGATTTCGGCTCAGGTCATGATCCAAGGGTCGTGGGATTGAGCTCCGCGTTGGGCTCCACACTGAGCATAGAGCCTGCGCAAGATTTTCTCTTTCTTTCTCTCTCTCTCTCTTACTCTCCCCCCTCCCACGCCCTGCCCCTCTCTCCAGCTTGCACTCTCTCTTTAAAAAACAAAACAAAACAAAGCAGAAACAAAAAAACGAAGGAGGATGTGTGTCTTAGAGCTAAGGGAACAGAATCTGAAATTTGATGAATACTCTTTGACTGTGTCATGCATTTTCTATTTTCCCTCTAGTGCTTATGAATAGATATTATTCTTCCCGTTTTATAAATGAGACATGGAGTGACTTGCCCAAGATCAATGTAACTTGAAAGCAGTAGAGCTGAGTTTTAAGCATGGGTATCGTTGAATTAAGAAGCTCCTAATAATCATTCCCCCAAAAAAGTCTCTGAAACGTGAATCTGCATGAACAGGGCTTTTTTCCTTCTTTCTTTCTTTCTTTTTTTTTTTTTTAATTTCACTTACATCAAAAGAAATTCAGATGTCAAATGGCTGTTTTTTTGTTTGTTTTAAGGCAAATAATCAAATATTATGGCAAATCAAATAATCAGATATGAAGCCTACCTTAAAAAAAAGGTTCTTTTAGAATAATAAAACTAGATAAAATAAAAATGTATCCCTGAAAGCCTATGACCCAAAGGCATTCTGTATTTTTGTATATACACGGAATTGCTGTGTTGCTCTGTCCAGGAGGGAGGGGGCCGCTGCTCAACCTTGTGTCCATCGTGACGAATGCTGCTGAGGTGCAGCACGTGTGTGATGTGCGGTGTGTGATGGAGAACTTGCTGTCCACGAACCCAGGAGGGAGTCCTTTGACCTATGTTGGTGTGTGTTGAAAGTGGGAATGTGGAGTAGGGAGTTTCTGGGTTTATGGTCCGCTTCGGGTGTTTGCTGGTGCAACTTTGGGCCATTAACCTAACTAATTCTTCTCTGCCTTGTTTTTCTCATTTTCTTCTTTGATGTCCCCCTTCCCCCATTCCCCTAAATCACGTAGCTTTAGCGTTTTCACATTATGGAAAATCTTTATTGGTATTTTAGCTGCAAACGGTGAATGGTCACAGTGCCTGGAGAGGAAGCAAGGTCATGTACACACAGTTCCTTCTTGGGCAAGTCCTACCATAGGGGTGGCTTGACTGACTTCTCGCAATAAGTTCTTGTCATATTTTTATGAATGTTGTACTGATACATGACAGAGAATACTGTGACACAGCTACCTGTGCTCTCTGTATGTGAGGGTGTGCAGAAACCTTATTTTCACACATAGAGCCAGTACATTTGTATACCGTTAAATTACAAATAATATTCAGCATTGAAATAATATGTAGAGGATGCTTTTTTTCTTTGTAAGATCAGTATTTTACAGAGTGTTAAGCATTTTTCTATTAAGTTTCTAGTTTTTAAATAAGTCTTCAACTTACATAAATTGATTTAATTGTATACTTGTATGTGGTATTCTCATGTTGAACTTTAGAGCTATTTTGTGTTCACTTCTCACCCTTTTTACTTTAAAATGATAGGAGAAGTTTAAGAGGCAACAAGATGTGTAAGCAAGTTATTTTAGGTAGTTTCTCAGAGACAAGGAAGGTCCTGTTTTTTCAGGCATCTCAAAGATTATTTGGGTAATAAATGACTTTGTAGAATTCCTCATAGGTTTAAACATAGGGAGCTAAATTATTTTGATATTATTGGTGTACATATATCAACAACTTATGTTTTTGTCTTTTTCCCTGTCGTTTTTAGGATTCTGAGTAACAATAAAATCTCCGAGCTGAAGAATGGCTCATTTTCTGGGTTAAATCTCCTTGAAAGATTGTGAGTATTTTTTATTTTCTCTTATTGTTATTTCATTTACTGCATTTCTTTTTGTTTATTATGAGCTTTATTTGAGTGAAAAATAATAGGAAGTGCATTTTCATTATAAGACTGTTACTAAACACTTGAGTTTTCCCTACATTTTATTACGAAAATGTCAAGAATTTAATGTCAGAAAACAATTAGTTAATTAGATGTTGCCAAACTTTCTGTAAAAGGCCAGATAGTAAATAATTTAGGCTTTGTGGGCTAATGGTCTCTTTGACAGTGCCTCGTTCCTGCCACTGTTGTGAGAAAGCAGCAATAGACAATAAATACATGAATCATTGTGGAGACGACTTTATTTGAGACGCAGACTGGGGTCATTGTTGATCACTGGTTTTTGGAGCATAGATGCTATTTTGAAAGTCTTCCATGAAGTGTATGCCTTATAATCAAGTAGAATTTAAAAAATACATCAAGGGGGGCGACTCTTGGATAAAATGAAATTTTATTGAATGTAATCATTTTGTTTTGCTTAGAAATTAGTTCTAATTACTTATGATCAGATATATATTATAAATAGTACTTTTTTTTTTTTTTTTTAAATTAATATTTATACAATGAATATCTAATTTGCTTATATTATGAATGATATTTCAGGTTCTTGTTTCGAATCCCCTTTTTACTCATAGATTTAGGGTAACATCTCAGGACATTCTTTTTTTTCTTTCTTGAGTGCGCTTCATGCCCAACATGGGGCTTGAACCCACGACCCTGAGATCAAGGGTCACATGTGCTACCTACTGAGCTTGCCAGGCACTCCTGGGGTAATATTTTTTCAAATGAATACAAGGTGTAGATCTATAAGGAAGCTGGATCGTGAACCTCTCCACTTCTGTTGAATAATAGACTTTTTCTTATTTTCTTAGTTCTTTTTGCTCTGATTTACTTTCTCTATTTTTGTGCAGTCTTTTCTTGACTGTATTACCTAGTGGCTTCTCCTACTGTCGAACATCCACAGGACGTTTATTGCTCTGATCACTGATGTGTTATTTACGTATATACCTAGAGTTTTTATTTATCTTTTTAAAAATGTGTTTCTTTTCATTGATCATATTGATCATGTGTCTTTTTTTTTTTTTTTTTAGTATTTATTTTTGAGGGAAACCTGGTGGCTCAGTTGGTTGAGCGTCCGACTTTGGCTCAGGTCATGGTTCATGAGTTCGAGCCCTGTGTCAGGCTCTGTGCTGACAGCTCAGCCTGCTTCAGATTCTGTGTCTTCCTTTCTCTCTGCCCCTTCCTTGCTCATGTTCTGTCTCTGTCTCAAAAATAAACAAACATTAAAAAAATTTTTTTTTAATTAATTTATTTTTGGGAGAGTGCAAGTGGAGGAGGGGCAGAGAGAGGGAAACAGAGGATCTGAAGTGGGCTCTGTGCTGACAGGCTGACAGCAGTGAGCCAGATCTTGAACTTACAAACGGTGAGATCATGACCTGAGCCAAAGTCAGATGCTTAACCAACTGAGCCGCCCAGGTGCCTTGACTGACTGATTTTAAAGCCAAAACCTCTATAGTTTTTATAATTTCCATACCGACTCCTTGAATAATCTCTTGATTCCTGCTTTCTACCGTTTTCATAGCTCTTCTCATTTCTCTACCAGGTCACCTAACTGACTGAGGTCCTCTGCCTCTGAGTGTCACTGCCCCTTCCTTGTGATGGAATCCAAACAATATCTTGCACTTCCTTTATGTCTGTCAAGCCTACCTTGTATTCTTCTGTGATTTTCTTTACTGTAAGATTCTCCTCATGGACTCTTGGTTTGCTCTGGGATCCCCTCATACCATCTGTGAAGTATCTAGGTGTCTGCTCTTCTAAGACTCTGCAGAGACTGTGCAGTGATTGTCTTAGTCTGCCTGGGCTGTCATAACAAAATGCCTTAGACTGGGTGCCTTAAACAACAGGAACTTGTTTCTTCCCAGATATGGAGGCTGGGTGTTCAAGATCAAGGTGCTGGCAGGGTTGATTTCTTCTAGGGCCTTAAGGGAAGGATCTGTTCCAGGCCTCTCTTGCTGGCTTGCAGATGGCCATCTTCTCCCTGTGTCTTCCCATGGTCTTTCCTCTGTGTGTGTGTCCACATTTCCTCTTCTTACAAGGACATCAGTCATATTGGATTAGGGCCTATGCCAATGACCTCTTTTTAAGCTGATGACCTTTTTAAAGAACCCATCCCCAACTCCCAATCTCCGTTTTGAGGTAAGAGGGCTTAGGACTTCAACATAGGAATTTTGGAGGACACAATTCATCACCAAAAATGGTGTAGCATTTTTGTAAGTTTACTTATGTATGTTTTCCTTGCCTGTTTCCTACTTACTCTGCCTTGGAAGGAATGACAGAACAGAAAAAAGGATTCCGTTTTTGGCTGTTGAGTTTCAAAAGTCCTAGTCCAATATAGAAAAGAGATTTGAGAAAAGATAGCCTAGGAGAAACTTGCTCCTTTTCTAGATTCACATTCTGTAGGCTCACTGGGGAGTCAGAGGGAATGCAGAGAGAATGTATATGCTGGTGGGTCCTTAAGAAGGGGCTCTGTCTTTCCTTCCCCACCCCTACCGGGTTTAGGGGAAGGACAGGGGAAAAGATTACATAATAAAACCAATGAATGGTTCTGAATCTAAGGGCAAGGGGCCTCTGAGGCCTCCTTCCTGGAGAAGAAGCAAACCCCCAAATTTCCCAGGACCCAGTGTGATCTATGAGCAGAAGAACTGGTCACAGAGCCATTGAGGCACACAGGTGACATCCTTCTTTTAGAGTTTCCAGGGAACAGCAGAATGACCCTTGCTCAACAAAGGGATGGGGTTGTTTGAAAGAAAGATAGTGCTCTCTCTGCAGGGGACTGCTGGTTGACAGTGACTTAGAAGGATCTGGGCTGCTTCTGGGGAACTCCACCTAAGACATAGCTACATAAGTGACTAAGGTCTTTATGAATGAACATCATTTTCAAAATTTTCAGAATTACTTGAAAATACAGTGTAGCTGATTTTATTCCTTCACTGCTAGTCATTCCCAGTGCATCTCTCCTTAGGTCTTCCATCTGTGAACTTGTGAGCCTTTTGTGGTCCAGCAGTGGTGGGAAAGCCACTCTGCTCTGCCCCAGAGACCCTCAACCAGTGGCTGAGAGCAGATGGTGGGTAGCCACCCGACCACCTCCCCTCCCAGAAGGGGTGATGCTCTCTGCTGTCCTCTGCAGTGCCCCAGGGGAGATCTCCTCACCACTGCCCCTTGTATTGGCTTCCTTCTCATGAAGGGCTGGCTGGGTTGAATTAACGAGCAGGTATGCCCCAGAGGTTGAGGAAATCTATAGGAATGGAAGCTGGGGGCTTAAACACATTGCCTGGTATGTAATTTTAGTGTCAGTATTTAAACTATAGAGGAGTGTCAGTAAATAGTGACAAATACTTCACAAGAGTCTCAGTACTCTAAAATGAAGAGTGTATGTACCCAGGCCAGTTTTAATATATCACAAAGAGAGAGAGAATTAATTCTCTTAAGACGCTATTCTTCAAATCTTCAGTGTCTCCCTCTCTCTGGCAGTTCTTTTGAAGAACAGCTTTTTTTTTTTTTTTTAAATGTTTGTTTATTTTTGAGGGGGGTTAGAGGCAGAGAGAGAGGGAGACACAGAATTCAAAGCAGGCTCCAGGCTCCGAGTTGTCAGCACAGAGCCCGATGCAGGGCTTGAACCCACAGACTGTGAGATCATGACCTGAACTGAAGTTGGACACTTAACTGACTGAACCACCCAGGCGCTCCTGATTTGAAGAATAGCTTCTTAAGAGGATTAATTCTCTCTCTCTGTCTTCCTGATATATTAAAACTGGCCTGGGTACATACACTCTTCATTTTAGAGTATTGAGATTCTTGTGAAGTATTTGTCACTATTTACTGACACTCCTCTATAGTTTAAATACTGACACTAAAATTACATACCAGGCAATGTGTTTAAACCCCCAGCTTCCATTCCACCCCAAAAGACGGGTCCAGGTCATGATGGCATCTCTTTCTAGCTATTATCAGAGCTAGCCTCAGCCAATGAGAATGATGAGGAGCATTTAGCTGTGGAGCTTTGAGAAAGATGTCTGGCTCCTAAGGAATTACAGGAGGAAAGAATTCACTCTTTTTCATGACTTTGTGCTTGGAGATAATGTGTGGACCTTGGGATATCCTATCACAGTTGAGGGTCAGCCTGAAGGCCAAGTTGACATTCTGAGAAAGTGCAGACTCATGAGGTGGTTGGAATGGACTACTTAAGCTGTCCTATGTCTCAATTTCCCTTAATGCTAGAGAATTTCCTTTATTGCTGAGTAGAAGTTTCAGATACTTCAGTTAAAAAGCATCTTTTCTGATATGCTTGGCATTCTTTCCTAAAGGAGTGTGTTCTTTTTCCAAGCACTGTTAAAATACTCCTTTGATTTTGTTAAAGCAGTTCTTGTGCACTTTTTCATTTATCTTTTAATGACCCAACATACTTAGATTTAGCTATGGACCCTAAAGTTAGACTCGTGCTCCCTAGGGAAGCTGTGTTTGGTAAGAAGAGGAGAGATGTTAAATGAGAGAATCTGACTCTAAATATCATTTGGCAATGCCTGATTAATATGGCTATTATTAAGTATTATATAATATGTCAAGGCGTGTTTATTATTAAAGGAAAAGTGTGTCTTTAAATCATATTATAGTACTCCATTATTCATGAGAGGTATAATGTAGAAACGCATGTAGTACATCATTGACCACAAATTTATGTACTGCGGTAGCTAAATCAGTACTTGTTGTAAATGCGGTTTAAAATCTGAAAGGGGAAACCTATGTTTTTAAAAAATGAAACTGACATATATTTGTTTGCAGAGCTTTTTAGCTTAGGCAATACAAGTTAAAAACCTGCCAGTTGGGGGCACCTCGGTGGCTCAGTGTGTTAGGTGTTTGACTCTTCATTGCTGCTCAGGTCATGATCTCACTATTTGTGGGTT